CTATATAGTTTACAAATATCATGAACCTTATATGAACAAAGTATGTTTCGTCAAAAAAAATTTAAGTTTAAAATTAATCTGTTACAACAAAAATCAATACTATTAAGATTGTTTTCGTATATGTGGTGGGTTTTTACCCTATACCCTAAACATGATCTAGCCTTGCTATAGCCGCGAATTAGCATCAGAATCTTATGTAGTCGATGCGAAATTGATGCTAAATAGCGTCGATTTAGCATCGAATTATTAATAATCGACGCTAAATAAAATTTTTGGTGTTTAGGGTAAAGAACATAAAACGCGTCGGTTTTTTTGGTATTCGACGCAAAACCGACGCAAAGTTCAACTAATTTGGTTAAATTGTTGGCGCTTAACCGAAAAATTTCCAATTAATTTGTTTCAATTGTTCCCGGTTAAATGAAAAAAAATATTTTAGCGTTGATTTTGCGTCGGATTCTTCGGGACCGACGCTAATTCGATGCTATATCAATTTTTTTGTTTCTCCGCCAAAGGATATATTTTTTTGGGTTTTACCGCCATATTTATTTGGTAGGAAATGAAAAAAATATTAAATGGGTTTTGCGTCGAATTAGCGTCGGTGGAAGATGGATTCGACGCAAAATCGATGCTAATTAGCATCGCTTTTGCGTCGGTAAGCGACTCTATATAAAGCCCAACCCGCCTCTTGCCTCAGATCTGGTTTCTTTCTCAAAAAAAAAATTGTCTCTCTCTCTACTGATTCCTGATTAAAAAAAAAGTTGTCTCTCTCTTTATTGATCCTCTCCTCTACCGATTCCTCTCTACACAAAAATGGTATGTGTTTTATTTTTTGCATTTTCTTATATGTATTATGATTTATGTTTGTATAAAAGTGTTAGGGATTATTAAGAATGGAATTTAGGGATGATTTTGTAAGAAATAGAATTGTAGGAAAGGGAATTTAGATTTGATAAGGAATTTAGATTTGATATTTTAGAATTGAATGAAATTTCAATGTGTATATGAATTTATATATTGCTTTATTTGTTTGCATTTTTACTTTGCATTTTTTAGTTTAATAAATTCGTTTTTAGTTTATACTTTGCATCTTTTTATCAAATAAATTCGTTTTTATTTCACCATTAAATTATATATGAATTTAATAAATTCGTTTTTAGATTTTCTAAATTCGTTTAGTTTTGTAAATTCATTTTTAGCTTAATAAATATGTACATTAGTTTATACTTTGCATTTTTGTCAAATTAATTCGTTTTTATTTCACTATTAAATTATCTATGAATTTAATAAATTCGTTTTTTTATTTATGTTTACAAATAATTGTTAGGGATTTTTTTTTATAGATTATTAGAAATTGTTAGGGATGAATTTGTAGAAAAATTCGTTTTTAGATTTAATAAATTCTTTTTAGATTTTGTAATTGATTTATATACTTTTATACTTTACATATTTTAATTTAATAAATTCGTTTTTTATTTTACACGCAAATCGACCTTCGTACGGAGAGTTGTTTGGCGAAGAGTCTATGATTCTCGGATCCATGGATGGTCGTCGCGGATCGGGATCAGGGTCGCGTTCGCAATCGACTTCTCACTTTCGT